TCTCTGAGCCAGTGTCCCCAGCTTAGTAATTCGGTGAGGGACGATCGTGGGAAGAGCTCTGTGTGAAGTGGGCTGTCTTGCCATGTGTCCAATTCCAACCCAAGCCGCCAGGCTTGCGGGGGCGGGGCCATGGAGGTTCGCATGGCACATCCCTCCCCAAATCCCAGGCTCGGATTGCGGGGCCTGCGGAGGGGCAAAGAAGGCGAGAGGGACTGTTTCCGTAGGCCGGAGAGCACCCCAGGTCCACACTCAATCACTCAATCACTCTGAATGTCCGTCTTTGTTTGCTGAATTTGCGGGCGGGTTGCCTGAACCCTATGCGTTTAGGAATTTCAGGTGTGTTTCCTGTGTCTACATTTTTCCTGAGTTCTGAGTTCCTGATGCGAAACCCGCGCATCTTCTCAAGTCTTCGACGAAGAAGATGCAAACCCCGGGATGTCGACCTGGTCGCCCGTATTCAACCGTATTCTTGTTATAAATCGTCTACCAGGGCTCCAGTGCATGATCGCTTTTCTCACCCTTGCGGGTACAGCTCCTTCCACCGAAAATAACAAGGTCAGATTCTGGGATGTCTTGCTGTTGTGCTGCCATGGCTTGGGCTTCCATTGATGTGCATTCGATTGGACTGTCTGCCTCCTTGCGGCGTTTGGTATCTCAGGTTTAGAGCAATGGTTTTTCGATGGGGGTTGGGAGTTTCGGCACAAATCCATCCTACATGGGAGTTCTTGCAAGGGACCAAGTCCGAGCTGTGTAAAGCCTTGCCGGCAAGCATCCCATTGGGTCCAAGAATTGGACAGGCTGCCCACCACCGGATTTGGCGTGCTTGTTCAATGCCTCAGCAAGCATCCCAACTACAGCGAACCCACCGGTGGTCGTGAAGGATCACACTAACACAGGGGCTCTGTAAGCCAAGGCTCATGCTGCATCTTTCTCATCTTGTAGCCATCAGCATCAATGATAGGCATCCATCCCTCGTCGCGATGCTGGAATCCCTTCGGGGGCTGCTTGCTTGGACAAGACTTGGAGAGCTTGTTGCAGACTCGGGAGACGAACTTCTCCACAGACAGCTTCTTCTCACTGGCAAGTCTGTAGTTCTTGTACAACCTCGGCTCAGGCAGCCCGCGCTTGAAAGCCTAGCCGAGGGACCTCACTGCTGAGTGACATCTCGGTCATGTCTTCGCGATGTTCATCGAACACTGCACCTGCCACTCGAGCTGCTCTGCGTTTGGCTCTTGAAGCCCAAGTCGTTTGATTGGGCCAAATCAATTTCGCGAGTTTGGATCTCAGCACATGAGCTTTTGCACCATGAAGCTTGCTGCACCGGCACATGACCACGGACAGCAACTCAACAACAGCACAACTATGTAACACTGCCATGCCTTGTCTTGAATTGCGCGGGGTTGGTGGGAAGGTGGACGGTATCACAAGCGGGCCGGGCGCACGGCATGCATGAGCCATGGTATTGCATTCTCGGCGGCACTCTCCAAGCTCGCCCTTGTTCTCCAGAGTCAAGATGTTTGACGACTCCTGCATGTCCCGATTCTCTACACACGGGCAGGGCAGAACAACCCTTCATCGACAACAGCTCGCTTGAGGCAGATGGGTCCCAATCAACACATTATGCAGGCTACATTGAGCAATGTAGACTGACGGGTGCAACCACCAGCCTCCTGGACGATGTCATAATGCGTCATCCACTCGCCTTCTAAACACAAGCAAATCTGCTGGCTTTTGTCGTTGGCTTGGATAGGTTTTGAACCATTGAAGACTTAAAGACCTCCGTTGTCATCGGGATCACAGATTGCGCTCAGAACTTCGTCGATTTCCAGTTCGCCAAGGGTTCCTAAGTTCCATTCCGGCTACAGGCTGCATCATCAAAACCTACGACAGCCCCTTGCGTGGGCTTTCATGGAGGCAGAACACGACACGCCTTTCCAGTCTCCTGCGAGGCGCCGGCTGGAAGTTCAGAGACCTTCAGCGCCACCTGAGTCCTCGGTGCCACTGAAGGCATCGGAGTTGTGTTTTGAGTCCTCACCTTGAGGATGTCGCCACGCTTCGTTCGCGGCAAGCTTGCCTGAGTGGCATGAGGAGAAGTTGGTTGCCGTGTCTTGGGAAAGTCGGGCCGAGTCACAGGAGGCGCACTTGATGTAGGGCTCACTCTTGGCAAGCCGGGTCGGCTTTTTGCCCACGGCCGCCCCCATGAGCTCCTTGTGGCTTCGCGTGAGTAACTCTTGAGGAATCTGAAGTTCTTCTGTGTCGCCAGGGCTCTGGTGGAATGTTTGCCTCTGCGGGAAGCATCCATGCCAGGGCCGATAGCCATGGAAAGCACCACATGGCCGCTTCCGACTACCCTCCGCTAGTTTGACTCGGGATTCCACCCTATGCTAAGTGTTGCAAGCATCCGTAAACCCGTAAACATACAAAAAGGATCAAACAATGTAGATGACACGTGCCAGTTTGCCATGTGCTCATATCGACGCTGCTGATCCCACATCTTCACTGCGCAAGCAGCTCAAGCCCTTTGACGTATAAATACAACTTGTACTCATCATTTCTCATCTATCAGCTAGAAGCAGACTTTCCAATTCACGAACCGGCAGACGGGACAGGACAGTTTTCTCTGGGCAAGATGCTTGCCCGCGGAAATAAGCTTTGCAGCTTCTGCTGGAGCCTGGGTCAAGAGACTTCAACCCTGCATGACTGCATGTGAGGCTTGTTCAAATTTGCTGCAGCCTTCGCAGCAGCAACCGCCGCAGGGGACACACCCCCAGCTGCTGCACCGGTCCCGTGACCTCAGTACCAGCAGACTTTCTTCAAACAGGTTTGAAGAAGTCTCAACCGGCTTCTGTGCAAGCCTGGCGGGCCGCCGCCAGCACCGTGTCGATGAGCAAGATCCTGTGCTTGATATGATTTCAAATCATGGTAGTGTTACCGAGTCAGACGATTTCCACGTCCAGGCAGACCGTCCTCGATGGGCATCGCTCTCCCTTTCAGGAATGGCAGCATGGTTCCACGGTGCAGATCTTCCACCTTTGTTCTGTTCAACGTGAAGATGTTGAACATCACGCTCGGATGCAAAGCAAATGTTGGCATTTGGCGTCACTTCGCTTCTTTTTCTGAGTGGCTCCGAAGCCGAAAATTGGAATCGCTGCACGGGGTCTGATCAGCTGCGGAGCAGGCGCGCCCTGGTCCGAGTTACTGAGTTACCACATTATCCCATCCTGCACGCTTCCGAAAATCTGTACAAGGGGGAGCGTGACAGAGACCACCAAAGCACTTCGCGTCAACCACCCATGGCACGGCCACCCCATCTCCGAGTGGCAGAGCCACTTCCGCCGACGTGTTTGTCAACGGGTTCTGTCTGCTCTTCGTTGCGTGATCGCCTCTGCCAGCTGGAATATCCATTCTGCCTGCGAGAGTCGCCGCGATTGCCGCTCCAGCCCGCTTTCGCTCCTGTAGGAGTCTCTGCTGGCCATTCCTGCCGTGCTTGCTCCCACTCTGTCTTACGGAAGACCTGTCCAGCCTGGCCAGAGTTGCCCTTGTGTCGCTTTGCTGCGACGATTTGGGAGTCCCGCTTCGACTGCTGCTGACGAGCTTCCTCTTCCGCCTGCTCCGTGTGCATGAGCGACACAGGCTGAATCATTGGCTTGGGGTAGTCCTTGCCATATTCGAATGATGGCTTTGACCCTTTGGTGGGTTCTGTCTGTGACCCTTGCATGGACAATGCCAACGCATGGGCCAGTTCCTCATCTTCGGAGTCATCCACCTGCTGAACATCCTTTGCGTGTGCCGCAGTCTCGGACTCGTTGCTGTGGGTTCCATCAGACAGTAACAGCGCAGCTGCTGCATCAGGGTCCTCCCAAGTACGAAACAAGGCAATAGCAGCATCCTTCTCGTCAAAACCCATGGCGAGCAAAGCCTGCTCAATCCCAAGAGTCAAGCAGTGGTCAAAGTTCATTTCATGCTACAGTACCAGTATCAATCCCAGTACGCCTACCGCAGTTGCTTCAAGGAGGGGACCGTCCCTTCCCGGTTTAAGCCACTGCTGCCAAAGTTGATGCTACCGATTCGGTCACAGTATGATGTATGGGACTACAAGAGCTTTGACGAAGGTGCATGAGACACATTGAAGAGAACGTCAACCTTGCGGCCCTTTGGAACGAGCTTGCATAAAGACATGCCAACGTAGACTTGGCCCCCGCCTCCAGAGGCTGGCGAGACACGCTGAATTGGCCTGTCGGAGTTGGTCTCAATCCCGAAGAAGCCGACGAAGCTTGTCCGTTCAGGCCCAAGCGCCACGGTTCCCGTGCGACCGTGGAGGGCAACGACCGCAGTTCCGGGATCCAGCGCTTGATGTACGTCGCATCTGGATCGTGCTGCGTGCCCCATTTCAGGATCTCAAGCGAGCCCAAGCACTCGCCGGGCGAGCGCTTCTGCCTAGCTGCGGGCAGGCAACGGTAGGTCCAGTTGTACCAATTGGCCGTGGGCTCGTAATCGATGAGAACAGACTCAAACCACTCTGCGGCCATCCGCCAGTCCAGGCCGAGATCAGCTATCAAAAACCATCCTGCCGTCTCTCTGCCCATGTGGTTGCAGTAGCCGGTGGTTTTCAGCTCGCGCATGAAGCAGTCAATGAAAGGAAACCCCGTGTTTCCGCTGGTCCATGCCGTCAACTTCTGCCGATCGGAGGACCAAGCCCAGGAAGGCCGCACATTCAGAGGGCCACCAATCTTAAATATTGAGGTCCCTGCATAGATGCTTGCAAATCGCACAAAGTCGCGCCACAAGAGTTCATGCACAATCCAGTAGGTTGACTTATTCTTTCTCCTTTCCTTCTCATAGCGCTTCACTTCCTCATAGAGCAGTCTTGGCGAGAGGCATCCGTGGGCCAACCACGGGGAGAACTTGGACATGGCCTTGTCGCGCATACAACTTTTTGAGGGATCCATGGTCATCGTGGCTCCCACGTAGTCTAGGCCCAAGGAGTCCTCCTCCCATAGAAACTCTTGCACCCGAGCCCAAGCTGCCGTCTCACCGCCCGTCCACCGCAGTTCGGCACGGGGATCCTTCTTTTCACCGGGATCCGCTGCAGCATCGTAGATAGCCCCCATCAGCTGCGGCAGCTCTGGGAAGGCATCGGCTCGCTTCCAGGCGACAGAGTCCGTGCCGCAGAACACAGGATCTTCCTTGTGACTGGGGCGAACGTAGCTCCCTTCTTCCACTCGCTTCCTGAAAGCGGTGTATGAATTGAAGGCTCCCTTTGGTGCTCGAGGATCGAAGGTCAGATCGTCGTGGTGATACAGCTCAAAACCCCAGAAAGTTGAGAGAGAGCCCCTGCTTCGACCCAGGACTTGCCTCACCTGGCGTTCGATACGCAGCTCTTCGCTACAAATCTCGCGGAATGCAAAAACCTCTTGAACGGAGAAGTCTTCGCACAACTCTTCAAAGCAGGCTTTTGTGCTGATGTTCGTGCGTACGTTCAGTCTGTGACCCGCAGCTGCGAGTTTTGTAGCTACATCATTGACTGCCTCCAGCTGAAATCGGTTTCTGATGGGACCGGTTTTGGGATAGCCACATAGCCTGGTCTTTCCAGCATGCCAAAAGGTATCGAAGATGTACAGATGCAAGACAGGTAGACCTTTGCTGTGCGCCGCTTTCAAGGCAGCATGATCATGAGTCCGCAGATCCGTGCATTTGAACCATACTACATTGACCTTCGCCTTGGCAGACATGAGAGAGGTGGTGCCCGTGTTAAATCTCGAGCCCCACAGTGGCTATAGAAACCGCAAGGAAGTGCTTCAAGGTAGCCCCTGTTTGCGAGCCTGTGATTTGCGAGTGCAGATCTAGGCGAGGGACCAAAACTCGGCCATCATGAAGTCGTTCAGAGACAAACAAATGCCTTAATTGGAGTATCACAGTTCTGCAAACGAGGTCCTATTGAACGAATCTGCTCGGTGAACTGAGCCCGAAACCCTTTGTTGGTTTTCCACATGACGAAAGTATGATCCTGGGCTGCAGTGCGACCAGGTTCGACAAGCTAAGTGCATGACAGGACCTTCAGAACATACACAGCAAACATCTAACCGCCGTGAAGCAATAGATTTCTTCGCAAGCTAAGACCCAAGCTACACCGCTGGGTATGTGGTCAAGGGCCCCCCTGCGTGCAGTTTGCAGACACCGTGTGCAAACACCACGTGCCTTGACTTTGGCCATCCGACAAGGGACATCACCGAGGCATCTTCTGCGGACGTCTTCTTTCCCACGACCAGCCGCGCAGCATCTCCGACCTTCGGCAGTGATATCCACACCAACCCAGATGCCGAGGCTAAAGTATCCGGATCCCCGCGTGCTGCATGCGCTTGCAAACCTTCGATGCTCTGCCAAGCTGAGGTGTGCACAGAGATGGGTTCAACCTGCGTAACTCATCACACTTTGCACCGGCTCTGAGCTGACCCGCCACACAAATGAGGCAACGGCCCAAATCGACACCTCTCCGGCATGCTCAGGCCAGAAAACCTCAGGGAAAGGGACTACTCCAAGAGGAGCGTGGCTTCTCACCGACTTTCAGGCCAGGGGTCCAAGACCAAGTCGAAGCCAGCCATGGCCCTTCAAAAAACGAAAGACACCCCCAGAAATTCAAACAACAAGTAATTGGCTCCTCATGGCGTCAAGAACTCGCATCGCTGCCCAGTCGAAGCGCTGTCCTCCAGACTGTCTTGCTAAGCGATTCATCCCTGAGCCGTGAAGTACAACTGCGCCTGGACTCAGGGGCCTTGGCACCCGTGGCCTAGCCTTTGCCAAAGCAGGTCTGTCAAGGGATGCTGACTGAAGTTAAGTCTGATAAGGGAGCTACCACCAGGAAGGCATCTGCCGTGATGCCGGCCACTGTTCCTCTTGTACTGTGGCGCCAACGATCAATAGCGCGAGCAACATCTTGGAGACCCCGCCGGCAGCTGCTGCACCGACCATGGCAAGCTTGCTGGCAGAAGCCACAGCTGGGCCTGCTCCGTCAAACCATGTGTTCGTCGCCACACCAACGTGAAGGTGAAGGCTGGCCTGCGCAGGTGCACACCTCGGTGAGCAGAGTTCCAAAACGATTGCTTAATTGGGAATCCGGGATCCAGCTGGGTGAGAACTTTAAGCACAGGCGTCGAATTGCATTGCCGACAAGCGCCACCCCGAACTGCTGCTCGAGCCGCCCAAATGAACACCAGTGCGGTCAAGCAGGAGTTTCAGAACAACTGCATGTTGAATTAAGTTGAATTTGCTGGATGACAGGGTATTGTGCCGACGGAGAGACAATGTTAGACAGGAAGAGCATTCAGGCTTGCATAGATGCTGAGGAGGAGCCAAAGCAGACCTAGCAAAACTGACATCGCGGTAAGTCGATTTTGTAGAGGAGGCGCTGCTGAATGCAAATGATCTGCCTCAGAAGAACCTCAACTTCCAGCCAAAGATGTATTCTCCAAAACACACATTCATTCTTTCCTATTCTTCCCTGGCCGAGTGCGGACAGGCTGCACTACAAAGTAGAACGTGTACTGTACCCCACTTCTTGAACCTGACCTTGGATCACTAGCTCCTTTTGGTACGTTGCTGAGGCGACTCTGCTTCCCAGTGTTCGCTGGCAGCCAATCCACGTTTGGTCGTGCCAGAATGGG